GTAGATATCGTCGAAATCGACGGTCGAACTATCGTGTGTGTGTGAGAGAGAGAGATGACAGTTGCTTTTACATGATTGCGAAGCGAGTTAAAGTGGTGTATGATTTGTCTGTTGCGTTTCCCGAAGGGGGTGTCAAGTATTGTGGCCTGTCCTGCTTCGGTTGAGGGGGTGGCGTTTTCAATTGGCCCCGAGGCAGCCGCGACTATTTAGGCGGGCGTGTACGCGCGAGTGTGTACACGCGGGGAAGTGGGTCAAGGGTCTTCAGGTCAGCGAGTCGCGAACTGCTGCCTGCGAGGACGGATGATATTAGGGCAGTGGACATTGAACAAGGAAATGGGGTGACGGCATTGTTGGCGGTCCGCCACAGGTCCTTTTATGACTTTTATCTTCCTGCATTCCAATGAGAAATCCTTTACCCTCCAGGTCCATTTATAACTACTAATGGAACGGCCCTTAACGAGGGTTGGCTGTGAATTAGTCAGACTCCTCATTCTGGCAGATAACCGTTTGTATTTCGACACCGACAGTACTACTAAAATGCGAAGAGTTTATGCCTTTCACACCCATCACCTTACCAAGTCCCCTGAGGTTTGTTGGCATGTTTGCTCGTGGTATTCCGTCTGACAACCTGAAGCTATCATGACGAGTGACAGCCTGTATTCCGGGGGCACTGTCATATTTTTTACTGATTCTGACGTCTATTTCGTCGGTATGTGTTTAGTACTGGTAATCAAAAGCTGTTTGTTCCTCTATTGCATTGCAACTCATATTCGGGCTTGTCGCTTTTGAATTTTCCTGCCATTTTATCCAAAGTCGAAGGTCTATGACCAGAGTTCTCCCTTTAAATTCAAGTATCGGGTAATATGTAAACTTGTACTCAAAGGCCCTTTAAATTGCTTGTAACTGCGATATTTTAGTTTACATTATTGAATGATTTCATCGAATTGAATGTACAATGTTTTCTGCTAGGCTAAGGATTCTCGACGAATCTTTGCTGAACCCGTCAGTCGGGATATAGCTCCCGACTACTACTCAGTCATCGAAGACCCCATGGACTTCTCGACAATGCGCAAGAAGCTACAAGATCACGAGTATCTTTCCGTGGCAGATATGGAGGAAGACTTTAATCGAATCGTGAACAATTGTTGTAACTACAATGCTCCCGACACTGTCTACCACCGGACTGCACTTCAGCTCATGTCATATGTACGCAAGTGCTATTTTCCCTCACTTTTACTTGTACTTGATCCGATTAGCTCCTGTTGAACGAATCGGCTTCATGGATAGCGGCGGCGGTGAGAAGCAAGACCTTCGCAGATGTCAACCCAGTGTTTGTTCCGTTGTCGCAAGCCGTAAACTGTTACGAGGCCCATGCGTTCGACATCCGACTTAACAGTGTTGAGCCACGTCTTTAGATGACCGCCATATTGGTATCTTCAATTTGCACTACGAAAGGGGTTCACGACCAATTTGCAGATGTTCGTCGATGGCCTGCGCGGGACACGGTTAAACCATTGTAATCGACGATGTTGGATGCATGATGCTAGACTTGGAAGTTTGAAACACCTGCGATATAGCTCAACATTGGAAATTCGATCCTACCAGGAGACCCTTCGGAGGCCTCGAAGACACCAATGGTCAAAGACTTTGACCGATAGAATGTCTATCCTTCTCACTGGCCATATTTCGCGGGCATATATTCTGCTGGATGCTCTGTATATTAACAGTTTAGTACGTAAGCTGGTGTCTGAGCTTTCCTTTCATGGGGCAGAGACGCGGTTATCATTGGAAAGAAAGAGCCGAGATTGTTGAAGCAAAATTTTTTTGTTTGACTGGCCTTTCGAATTCTCACTAGGAAACATCATCAAAAAGAGAGGAAGCTGTGGTTAAAAGTAATAGATGCACAAAGGGGGGGCAGTGTTTACACGCATTTCCACCCCTTTCCATCTTCGGTGCGACAACTTTGTCTGGGTGGAGTAATTAGTCACACGGGAAGTGCGCAGACGAACGCTAGTGGGCCAGCTTCCCACGAATGCTGAACTTGCGGCATTTGACCACCCGGATGGGGCAGTCAGTCCATTATCTCACCGTATGTGACGAGTATGACAGCTGTTAATTTTTGATAGGTACGTGAGGGCAAAGGAACCGTATGCTGTGTATCATGTGTGCCTATTGACCCGCCTATCTGTCACTGTCTCCGATGATAGGCTATGCTGAAAGTTCGTGGTGCCACTAATTTTTGACTCTTATCCTCTCTCTCTCCCTCCCTCCCTCTCCAAAGGCCTCTGAGGTCTTTAAGAAGGCCAAGGAACAGGAGAAAGTGGGCCTCTTTGACATCTCCCCCGAACCAGACTTATCTTCAACCTCCACTAACCTTCCGAGCGCGATTGTTAGCAATAAAGAAGCCACACGCACGTGCGACCTCGCTCCCTCGCCCTCTTCTCCTGTTGCAAATGCCGCTCAAGCGGTTGAACAAGTTAGCAAGACCGCCACCGCCACTACCAACACGATGCCATCCCTCAAATCCCGACAATCAACACGTCCTGTGCCGATCGCACTATCCTCACCCGCCGAAATTAAGCCCTCAGAGATGCGCTCGAGATTGCGTTCGCGTGGTTCAGATCAGGTTTCACCCACCACTGCTTCTTCGGGCGATACATCCTCTTCCCAAACTCGAGAACCCCCATTAAAACGACGGTGAGTGAAAGTTATTTCGTCATATCACCGTCCCCGATGCTGCAATACTTGTCACTGCGTGATAGCTATTGCAGTCGCAAATTAATAGTCTCGTTGTTCAAACCAAGGCATTGTGTGATACTTCTGTTACCTGCCAGATAAGTCCAGGATCTTTCCGTATTTCATCATCACGGTGAAAGTGATGTCGTCCTCGACTTTATTTTTGATGTGTCTTGTAGCACTTATTCATTTAGCGTTACGCAATGCTAACGATTCTGAATTTTATGAGCGTTAGGCCGACCTTTGCCGTAGTTTAGTTGACCAAATTGTGAAAAAACTCACGATATCGGCGGGAGTCGAGCCCATATAGCAGGGAAATACTTTACGCAGCCAACGCTCTACCACTTGAGCTACAACGCCACACAATTGGGTCAACTAAATTGAGCAAATCCACCAAAAAACCCTTAATAATTTTCCGCAGTTGTTTCACTTGTTAGCCCTCCATGATCCCACTGCTCGCAGACAGCTCGTAGGACGCCGGAACGGGAACACCTCCCCCTGCAGTAACGCAGGTGGCCTTGTACTGAATTCCAAAGAGCTTAAGGTTAAGGTAGAGGATAGAGTTAGAATAAGGACACCAAAATAGGCGGCACTCCTGGCATTAAAGCATGATCACCTGTTTACTGGCGATGAGGGGGGGAGGGTTCCATTCCCATTCTTTGCCGATATTTTCCTCGACTTCAATAATGTGTCTCTTTCATTTATTTGCAACTTTGGTTATTGAATACCCTTATTGTTATAGTTAGTCAAAAATGCTGCCCTTGTTTCAATTTTCCACAT